TAAGAAAGGTCCCTTGTATCAACTATCCAAGTCCCAATTGCCATATTTTTCCTTTGCTTCCAAAATACTCAAATTATTAATTTCCTTATCAGCTCCCAGGCTCACTTTACTGAAAACAGATGATTCAGTTAAGAAACCTTTAAGAATTTCTTTGTTTAGACAATTTGGAGTCCAAGAACTTTCCCGTTGATTTCAGTGGGATATTTTGTTTGCTAGCTTTACAGGAGCTGCATGCATTTTTCATCTGTGATTTCCAGTCCTCTTTCCCTGGCTTAGTAAATAGGGGTTTATGAAAATGTTGCTCATTTGGTCTGTTATTGTAATATTCTAGAGAACCTCATAAAAGCCCAGAGCAGTTCTTAGTAGGGTAGTACAGCAGCTTAATCCATTGACCGTTTGTGTTAAAAGCAAGGAAAAAAAAATCTAGCTTTGAGTCAGAGCCTGAATGATTTTTTTTAACTTACATTGGGAGTAAAGGTAACAGTGAAACCCACACGTGATGCTAATTCAGGGGTCACAGAATGTGCATATGATATCAGGTGTACTTTGAGTGATACAGAGCACCACAGGAGGTAATTAGGTGTGACTTATTCTTTCAATTTTATAATCTGACTATCCACCTCATGTGATTTTACCCCCCCCCACTTGTCAAGACTCACACTACTGGCTGCCATCTCCAGTCCCGGCAGCTGGAGAAATCCCATATTTATGCCTCTTTCCCACTCAGTGATCTGGCAACATCAGACGTGGCCAGTCCATGAATTCTTTGATATTATGGCCAGCTGTGCTTGATGAATGGGGTCATGGAGCAGGGATGAAGCAGCAGTACTACTGCCAACATGCATTTCCCTTAATGGAGGTCCCACATTCTAGAAGTGCTTAGTAGGTGGTACACAGCTGCAGTTCAATGTCATAGCACCCACAGTTCAATATAATAGCATCTTCCCTGTCACATTACCCCAGGTGTCAGATGCATCACTCTCACCATATATAAAGAATAACAGTGGGTCTTGCATATGGGAAGGAAAGAAACATGAGGGGTCTACCTCCCAGAGAAAAGTTTGCTTATTTAAATGAGTAAGCAGAGGCTCAAATGCCCCATGTGCTAAAGATTCTATTATGTGACCTATGAAACCCAATTTCCTTCTTCCAAATTAAAATGTGGGGATGGTCACAGAATGGGTGAATATTTTGGGTGGCTCTTCAGCCAGGTTCAGACAATTTATGGCAAGTGAGATTCTAACTCAGATAATTACCAAAGTTACTAGCGCTTATGCTAACTAACTGTTATGTGATGGTGTTACTGGACTGAACCAGCAAGAAAAGGTTTTCATGGAAAAAAAATATCCTCTCTTAGGCTAACAGGAATAGCTGCAAAAATTACACACACCCTTAGGGCAAACAAACTAATTTTTAACTTTATACATCAAGAAATTGCAACAGCTCTAACACCGCAAGATGATAAATCTCCTTGATCTACTTCATGTGCTTCCCTGCTGTGTGCAATGGCTTCTGTCTTATCTTTTTCAGGAAATATGTTTGAGGAGTGATTAATGAAGCATTAATTGTTCTCTGTGAGGATTCACACTGCATTTCATGATTCAAAACACACTGTGGTCAAGTTGCAAACATTGAAAGAGAGGACATGATAGTACAAGCTATACATATGCTTGTCCAGCTTTTAGGATATTTTCGTGTTAGCTGGTGATGTGAATGCTTTCTTGAAAACTATGTATAAATAAAAGTCAGGTTACGTAAAACAAATACCTAAAGTCCTTGCAGTTCTTTATTTCTGTTCTGTGCAACTCTGTGAATGATGTGGTGTGAGATGCCTTAGTAAACCAGACTCATTGAAAGAGATCCTATGACACGGCTGCTTCTAGAAATCTCTCCACAAGATTTCCACCATAAAACCGTGGTCACAGTGGACATATTTGTCATGTTCCCGTATTTGTCAGGTGTCCATTTCTGTCATGTACTAAACAGTTAATAACCTCTCATAGGTTATCATGAAGATTACACAGATAAAAATCACAAGCACAGACTAAAGTTATCAAACAAATCTGTCTTTTACCAGTGTATAAAATCAATGCCTACCATAGTCCTAGGAAAATCTAGGAAATATAGAAATGTAAATGTAAAGAAACCATAAAATTTCTCAGTTTCTTGGACATTGATGTTGACTATCTGCTACAGTTGTCAGACTAAACTCTTCTAACTCTTTCCAAAGACAGGAATTTCAAAATGTTCTCAAGAAAAGCGATACATGGTTCACCTGTTCTTACAGTTACAAAGTTTTCTTGGTACCTAGCCTAGAGCTTGCTTGGAGTAAGTTTCTCATACTAATCTCAGTGAACCTGAAAAACAACTCATCACTGTTTCTATAAGGACCACACATTTTCTTAACTGTTGTATTTAATACTTAGCCTTCTTTTCTTAGGCAGAACAAGGTCATCTTGTTTCAACCTATCCTTACAGATTATCTTTTCTAAATCACGTCCTTGGATTCTTTCCAATTTATTTGTATTTGAGCCTGACTGCAAAAAGAGTATCTCCATTATGTTCATTCACACAGTCATCATAAATAGATTTCAAAGTGAAAATATTTTGCTTGAAATATCACGTTAACTTGTACAACTCCTTTCTCTTTATTGTTTGCTGTTTATGTGTATTCACTGTCTTCTGAATATATTTCTCACATTTGTATTTTTTGGCGCGTGGGTTTTTTGTGTTGGTCTTTTTTCTTTTTTTTAATTTATTTTTTTATTTCCAAGTATTTCACCAATTCAGAAAGATCACTTGGAACTGCAATTCACTCCTGTGTACTTCAATATCTCTTGGTCTCATATTATTCACATATTTTCAAAGTGTGTGCTTTATACTTGATAGACACTTATAATTGTGGAAAGGTACCAGACCTAAGCTGGACTCAGTTCACAGGTTCTCCTAATTGACAACAAGTTACTCATGACTTCTCTGTAACATCTATCTTCCCACTTCATAATAGATAAATCACATTTCTTTTGTTTGGACATGAGAACAGCCCATATGACTATTTAAAAAGAAACCTGATAAAGTAAGATATACCATACCTACTCTCTCTTTCCATATTCTGGATTAATTACTTTTGTGAGAAGGTAACTAGATCGTTGTTATATGATTTGTTGCAGAAACACCCAGAACAGCTGCTTCTTATCACTGTGTTATTCTACAGATGCTCCTATACTGCTTGTCTTGTAATGAGTTAAACAAAGTACTTCTCTTAATACCAGTTTCACTATTTTATGTTTCCTCAACTACCACTTTAGTGTTTTTTTAAGTCTTCTCATACGGTATATCAGCACAGAAAGAGTATGACAGACATGACATATGGCCAAACACTGCTTGAGTGTAAAAAGTGTTCATATGACATTTTTTAAGCTGTATTTTGGAAGAAAATTATATTTTATATGCCTCTCAATGGAAGCACGTTTTCATAAAAGTATAATGGAAATTATAACACATTAAAAAATTTCTTAGCCTCCAAAACTTCCACTGGCAGCTGTGGAAATTCTGGACTGAGGAAACATGATCAGATGCTTTCTCTAATCTCAAAAGATCAAATGTTTGATTTTGGATTCCATTTTCTTCCTTTAACATAAAAAATAAAAATTTACTTAATGGAAATATATAGAAGTTATTCAGCACCCAAGAATACCTCTAAAATCACATAACTGCTAAGCAAAGGCTGCACAGACAAATGAATAAAAGTGCTTGAGTCTTACTTCAATGCCAAATGCTGACTTCAGACTCTTTTACAAGATGTATTATTATTAAAAATTGTATGACTGTTTTCCAAGAACTAATATAAAATTTTTAAAAAGTGTTAAAATTAAGCAAAGAATCTAAAGACATATCTAATCTCTGATATGTTCAAGGAAAACAGCCAGCTTAGAAAACACCACGTGAGCAATCTAGTTGAAAATCTTAAATGCCTTTTTTCTTTCTTCATTAACTACTCTCAAAAGTAGCTACCTCCCTGCAAGGTAGGCACATGCTTCCCCTTGAGCACCGATTCGGTGATGACAGCCCAAGGGTTTAAACCATAAAAAAGAAACTAAGACATAATTAAGTGCTATTTAGTTAGGCCAGTAACATAACCACAACTTTAATAAATGCTTGTGTACAAGCTACAGATTTTTAGTCTGTCCTGACTTCTAAAATATTTTATAAAATATTCTATCACATAAATTATACTCCTTGTATCTTCAGTAAGGTCCTTGTCATTTAATTCTACATCCTTGTTCTAATAAAATACTTTTAAGTAGCTCAGTTCTGTTTACCATTATGATAATTTCACATTTTGCAATAGCTTACAATTTTCCTAAACTGGATAAATTTGTGGGTCAAGGAAATATTTGCTTACAGCTTTTGCAAAATGTAAATATTAGTATAAGACTTTACATTATTTTCTGACATGTTTTGTTCCATAGAGAAAATAAAAACAAAGCTTTTATTCTCATCATATTCTAAAACATTAGTGTAAGTTTTATGATCAATCAAAACTGTAAGAATTCAGGAATATTTGAGAGACTCCATATGTTTAAAAGTAAGTTAACATTTGCAAAATTCTGACTGGAATAGTTTGTTGAAACATGGGCATATTCAGCATCTTGTAGCAATTATTTCTATAGCACAATTGATAAACCTTCATAAAATTACGCACATTATCCAATAAACCATCCTTGACTGAAGAAAAAGTATAAATATAGGCTGAAATATATGTAAGTTTCTATTAATAAATCACTTTTAGAAAGATAAACAATTATACTAATTTGTCTTCCATAAAACATTTAAAAATGAACCCAATATAAATTGGTTCAAATACCATTATGTATAACACTACATTACTACTGCTATTTTGATCTAACTTCATACTCTCACTGTTTGGAGTTCCCCGTTTACTCAAAAAAACCCCCAAAAAACAAAAAGAAAATCACAGTGAATACATTCTTTGGAAAATATTTTTTATTATAAAACGTACAGTATATTGACCTTAATATTATAAAACATAGTAATGTATCAGAGTCTTGTAAAGACCAATAATTTATAAAATGAGACCAAGTTCGTTTCTACTCTTTCTAGTCTCATAGTCAGATTAAAAATATATATAAAATATATAATGAATTATTTGACCATAGCATCCTTAGTAGCTGGCAAATGTTTGTTCATATGTTAAGGTAGCTAACCTCTGCATGTATTTTTATTAAAATAGATCACTCTCATTTGCTAAGTTAGTTTTTGATTTTGAAGAGCTGATAGAAGCATGAACAGAAAGGTTAGTAATCATATTCTATAAGGCTAGGTTATGTAAAGGTGCTGCAGGGTTTAAAGAAAATTATGTTTTACTAAAGCACTTCTATCACTGCAGCTCATTTATTAATAGTTAATACTTCTTTGGTACTTTTAAGGTGCTTGTTAGAACAAGAAATAGTTTTGGACTATTGACAAGAATAGAGTACTTTAGGCCTCAGATGCTATTGGATAGCATGAAAAACCACATTACTCTGTCTTAACAACTTAAAGACCTTTTTCAACTTGTTAGTCTCCTCAGTTCCAGTATGTCTAATGCCTCCTTTTATTGCAGAGACTTACTACCATGTTGAGTACAAAAGCAATACAGATTAATTCCTTTTTTTTCTGCCCTCAGCCTTCCTGGCCTTGTACTTTCCTCATTGCACTCGTTTGGCAGTGACTTGAACACTGGTATCCAGCCAAAGGCATTTGTTTTAGTGTTAGAATATGTGTATGTAGGTTGTTTTCGAATCACTGCCTAGTATATTTTTAGCAATGCATTTATAGAAGCCTGAATCTCTTTGAGTGGACTGCTGGATGACTAATGACCCCTGAGGATGGAGGAATTTGTTTCCATATAGACGGGATTGAGCTCCTGTTGTCAGATGTGATTTATCTGGAAGCTCCCATGTTATTTCTGCTTTAGGAATCCCAATGGCCATGCAGTTCAGTCTGACTGAATTTCCAGGTCTGGCATAAATTACAGGTGCTGGCTCACTGGTGATCCGGGGAGGATAGGCTATCACAATGACAGGCACAGTCATAACAGAAGTGCCATACTCTGTTGACACCTTGCACAGGTAAGTGCCCCTGTCAAATACAGAAGCCTCACGCACCGTCAATGAGCCATTCTCCATCAGGGAAAAGCGACCCACAGCCTGGGGGGCATCCATAACCATCCCATTGGGTAGTGTCCAGGAGATCTGCGCCCGCTGGTTTGGCTGGGTGATGCAATGAAGCTGCAGAGTTTCTCCATTGATGATGCTCACCAGGTTGTTATACTGGTTGCTAATTTCTGGCCTGAGTCCCACCTTCAGGAAGACTACTCGTTCCACATAACCTCCTGGGTTTCTGGCTGTACAGCGGTAAGTCCCAGCATCCCCAGCAGACAGGTTGCTGATGTGTAAGATCCCATCCCTCTTGTGGTAAAATCTGTTCAGGCGACTGCCACTCAGCACTTCAGAGCCATTGGGAAGTATCCAGCTTGTGCTGGGTTTAGGGTTCCCCTGGACTGAGCAGTTCAGGTTGATGGTGTGCCCAGCAATGGCAGTGATCCTTTCACTGACAGGGTCTCTGAAGGAGGGTTTCTCCAAATGGTCTGTGATGAGGAGCTGCACAAGCAGTCTCGCTTCCCCTCCTTCATTCCGCCCAATGCATACGAGCTGCACTGCATCTGTCTGTCTCACCCCTCTGATGTCCAATGTACCGTTGTGATGCACAGTGATCCTGTTCCCATAGTAGGGAGCTGGTAAGATTACTCCTTCTGGGAAAGCCCATAACACCCGTGGAGCAGGGATGCCTTCAGCTTTGCAGTCAATAAGTTTCCGGCTGTCCCTGATGGCTGTCTCCCTCACAGATGTTAATGCACTGAGATGACCATTGATTCTGGGAGGTTGAACGTCAACATGGATCCAAACGATTTTCCTATCTTCTCCAGCACTGTTTCGTGCTACACAGGTATAGTTACCACTGTCAGATCTTTGGGCCTTTTGGATGAGGAGAGTGCCATCCCTATAGATCTGGTATTTGTCAGATAGGGCAGGAATAGGCCTGTTGGTTGGGGAGAGCCAAGTCACTTTGGGAGTGGGTTCTCCTTTGGCTTCACATGCTACTGTGACAACATCGCCATAGGGTACATTAATAATGACATATGTTTTGTTCCTGATGGTTGCAGGCTCAGCCACTACTTTGACCCGCACTTTCATTTCATCCCTCCCAATCTGGTTCTCAGCATAGCAGGTGTAGTCCCCTTCCTCTCTCAATCCGACGTCATTGAAATACAGAGTTCCATTATCAAAGACCACATATCGCTTTGTCCGGCTGCCGCTGTCGTCTGACTGCATGAAGGTGTTGATCATGCTGCCATCTGGGAGACCCCAGGAGATCTCTGGATTTGGCAGACCTGTGGCTACACAGTCAACTTTCAGGTCCCCTCCATACTTGACCTTGTGGTTATTCTCATTCTTATGTTCTATTTTTGCTGGTTTCATCATCACATTCACTTTGAGGACCACGTAGTCATCCCCTATCTTATTGCGGGCCACACACAAATAGTCTCCTGCATCTTTGTCTGTAACTGAATGAACAACCAAAGTCCCATTGCTGAATACCTTGATTCTAGTCTCCAAGGTACTGTAAGGCAAGAAAAAAGAAAGGAACATGAGCTGCAAAATCACATTTTGGGTATTAATTATTGAGTGAAATCAGGAGGGAAAAATCAACAACTCAACAATATTGAAATAAAAGAACAGGATAGGAGCATTGCTATTGTTAGATAATTAGAAGATCCAAAATGTCCAAGACATTCACCACCAAAAAGCAAATGAAAAAAATAATTCTACCCATTTGCAGAAAACAAACAATTCTGTTGCGTTTAATAACTTTAATAGTGTTTTTGATCATTAAACAAACAGTAGATACCAAATTATGGTAGTTTTGACTGTTCTGACTGCATGTAAAGTATTCTATAACATTCAAATATGGGATCTCTGAATGACATGATCCACACAAAGCTATATGAAGCATAACTATGCAGTATGGCATTTGGGTCCTATGCTAAAAACAAATCAAGATGAGGAACTTCCTCCGGCATCGGGTGTAACACATTAAACCTTTAGAGCAGTGGCAAAGAAGAAAAATGTTGCTAAGCTTTGAAACAAAGAAAAAAAAAAATTCCAAGATGCTAAAAAAGCTATTATTCCTTTCCACTTAACTATGGAATCTGTGTATTGTGGTTAAAACCAATTTCCTCAGTAACCACAGTTTTCTCCCTCTAAAGAAGATATCCTGTATTTGAAAAACACATAAAGATCATGAGGGAAAATGAAAAAAAAACACAGTATTTTGTTGCTACTACTATGAGGCATAAAACGAAATCCAGGTTTTGTGCTATCTACAGGCTACCAAAATATATTTTCTGTCAATATGAAAAAATTATGACTACATTCAGCTGTGAAGAAAGTTGTTCACAATTATGCATTTAAAATGCAGTGCGTTTCTCATCTGTTTATAGTGCTCAAAGAATGAGTTATGAATAATTTATAGAGCAGAAACTGTTTTCAGCCAAGTCTTAGGACGGTTATTGTAAGCTTGTAGCAATGATATTTTACTTGATATTGCAAACATCCGCTGGAAGAAAAGATACAAGGACTCCTTGAAACAACATCTCAGCCTTGGCCATATTGACCAACATAACTGGTCTACTCTGGCCTCCAATTGGGAGGTCTGGAGACACACCATCTAAAATGCTGCTGATGCCTTTGAGAAAGCACGCAGGATCACCCTTGAGGAGAAAAGACAACGCAGAAAGATTCGTGCCTTGCAGAATATACCATCTAAGGAGTCTTTCTCCTGTGCCTTTTGCAACTGGACATGCCTGTCTCGTATTGGCCTTTTTAGCCACCAACACGCTTGCAACAAACGTGGATAGAACCCTTCCCAAATCTTCGTTCGCGAAGCCCAGCCATGATGCAAACATCGGACAAGGTATTGTTTTAGGCATTTATATACAACCAAGCTTGCACAGACCTTACTGCGAGGTAACATTTGTTTATACAATGATGTTAAAATGATTCTGCTTTTTTAAATAATTATAAGTTGATTTATTTGCCCTGTATTTACTATGTATAATGATTTGCACAAGAAATAAATTTCAATGATCCTGTTTCTCTCAGGAAAAATCAGGCACCTGTGCAACTATACAGACTAAGAGCATTGGAACAAGCAGTATACAAGTTCTATATCTTTTGCCATTGGACTTTTTACTGCATTTACAAGTGGCTGTAAAAGATAGTGGTAGCTTATCCTAAACATTTGAAGCTAACTTTTTAAGGGTAATACTGCTTTCAAGAAAATTATGCTAAGATATGACTATCTTTTGATAAAATTTCAAATTCTTTCTTAAGGATTGGGTGCCTCATTCAAAACCCACAGAAGTAAAGAATGAAACTTGCACATATATGAGTGGGATTTTGTCTAAGTTCATCTACAGTGTGATTTAGCTGTGACACCTCAAACAGTAATTTACCTGTGTAGGGAATCAATCATCCTTTTGGAAGGCAACCTCCATAATATCCGAGGCCAGGGGTCACCAGAAGCACTACAGTCCAAATGCAGGATGCTGCCATATGTTACATCTGTTCTCTGAGGAGAGGTCCCAGTGATCTTAGCATTAGATGCATACTTCTTCACATGGAGCTGTACTGTTCTCCTGGCAGCTCCCACCATGTTAGCAGCAATGCACTCGTAGGTTCCACTGTCCTTGGGGGACACATTGCGAATATACAGAGTTCCATTGGGAAAAACAAATAAATTCCCATTGACAAACTGAGAAGGTCGGATTTGTGTGCCATCAAAGACCACCCAGCGGATGTTGGGAGAAGGTGCTGCTTTGGCAGTGCAGTGGATGTTGATACTGCTACCAAGGGGCAGGGAAATGTTCTCTTGCTTTTCCTGCTGGATGATGGGGGGTAAGGCTGCAATGTGCAGCCTCACTGCAATGCTGTCAGCTCCTGCAGCATTGCTTGCTATGCATTTGTAAACTCCTCGGTCCGAAAATGTTGCTTGCTTGATAGTCAAGGTTCGATTTTCATTAAGCATTATCCTGCTTTCTGTGGTGGTGACTGTCTGCAAAATCTTCCTATCTGGGAAAACCCATGAAATATGTGGGCTTGGAGTCCCACTAGCCTGACATTCCATTGCTATGGTCTCTCCAAAGTAGACCGTGACATCTCGATAGCGGGAAAGTAAAATTTTGGGCTGGTGGGCTACAACCGTGAGCACAACAATCATTTTATCTATGCCGTGCAGGTTCTGAGCTGTGCACAAATACTGCCCACGATCCTGAAGTTGAACATTTCGGATAAGGAGGGTACCATTTTTCCAGACTTCAAACCTTTGTAACCTGGTGTTGGCTGTCATTGCAGCTCCTGGAAAGGTGAGAAGAAAGAAAGAAACATAAAGTCAAAGAGTTTAAGATGTACACTGTTGCAATGAAAAAGTCTTATGTTTCCCTGGGATACTTTAGGTTTACTCAACACCAATTGCAACTTTAGAGAGGGACATGACATCTTCAGACACTCTCCATAGCTCAAATTAGTCTTTGTTTCTGTTATAGAACTAACCATACTAACTTGGAAACACTGACAGCATGAGAATTTTAAGGCTTTATGCTTTAGGATTCCTCTTAAATCTTTATGTAACTTTTCCTTTTGCACATGAAGATGACACACACAACATTACTTAAGGTAGCAGTGTTAACAAACCCATACTCACAAGTGTTGTCATCATAAATTCTAACTGCTGTGACTAATCAAAATTGGCTGCTACTCATAGCCAAAAATTACTCTTCAAAAAACGAACTCATCAAATGGTAGTAGTTTTCTTTTACTACAAGAAATACTGCAAAGTTATTATTACCTGTAATGATTAGTTGCAACTAGTCACATTTTATCTATAATGACTAAAAGTGACAGAAGGTATTCTTCAGGGTTTTGAACTACTCCTATGATCACGCTGAATTTCTATGCAATAACTTAAGTATTTGTACCCTTACAAACCATGTGGAAAAACACATTTTTCTCTGTCTTACCTGTAGATACTTTGGTCCAAGTAATAAAAGGCTTGGGTTCACCAACTGCATCACAAGGGATAAAAGCATCTGTTTCAGCAAGGATGGATATGCTCTGAGACCCTTTTGTGATAATCTTAGGTCTTTCTCCATGTATCCTGAAATTAGTGGAAGACTGAATTACAGTCGAATTCTGTGGAATAATGCCTCCCACATAAGGCACAGATGGAAATTTTTGATGATGATGATGGACATTTTTTAAAGGATGATCTGTAGTGGATATCTGTGGTTTTGTGCGCTGAGGGGGAAAGACTGGAGGTGGTAATGTGGTTGTTGTTGCATGTGGCATTGGAGGCAATGGCATAGCTGAAGCTTTCTGCACTGTAATCCTAGTAGGGAAGACCTGAGAGACCTTCTTCTCATTTGTGTCTTTTGGGACAAGTTCACTAGGGACGTCTGGTTTAGGGTGCATACTTAAGTGAGGGAATATCCTTGTTCTGTTGAAAAGGAATGGTATTCTGGAACTGGGATAATAGGGAATCCCTTGACTTGGTAGTCTCCCTGCTGTGCCTCTGTTATCTGGAACATAGTTATTTCCAAAAAATCTTGAATTAATATTGTATCTGTTCTGTCCCTGACTAATGAACTTGCTTTCAGTGAATGGATTTGTTTTGTGAAACGGAGAGGCTTGTGTTGGGGTAGTTGTTTCTCTCTGAGAGGCCAAAGTTTTCTTGTCTTGGACAGTATGTGCTGCATATGCTGTTATCTCTGGTTTGTTTGTGTAGTGAAGAGGCTGATGTGTTATAAAATAGCGAAATGGACCCTGTGTTACAGGAAGCTTCACTGTGCCTCTTACTGGAATGTGCTTTGGAGGAACAACAGGTAGTCTTTGGTTTAAGCTTGGTATCATTCCAGCAGGTGGATAGGGAAGATTTGGATTTAGCAGTAAACTGTTGTTTGATTTGCTACTATATAACTCTTTGAATTGATCCTCTTTTGACTGTATGCTAATCCTGTTTTGGTTAGAGGAAGGAGTAGGGTGAACACTCTGTCTTGAGCTTATCACCATTTTGTCACCACCTGCTCCTGGGAACCTTTCTTGATTGAAGGCATTAGTTTCCTTGGTGGTGTAATGAAGAGCACGACGTGAAGTGCTTGAAATGGAAGGAGGAAGAGTGGCAAGTTTTATAAATGGAATAAAGGCAGTGGATGTAATTGGAGGCTTTTCAGTTGTCTGCAAATGATGAAACATATGTGACACAGCTTCCTTTTTATCCAAGGTAGACGGCTTTGTCCCAGCCTGAAAAGCAATGGATTTCTTTGTCTCTCTAAGTGGAAAAGTCTGAGTTTCTGCTGTGCTGCAGGAGGAGGACAAAGTAATTATCTCATGTTGCTGAGATGGCTCAGTTTTTGCTGGTGTTTCTGTGGGCTTCCATGGCTCCTTTGAAACTGAGATGTCCTTAAAAACTTTGACTGTGCCAACAGGAATATTTAAGTCAGTCATAGTGGGATGTATCAGCTGGAACGTTCCAGCAGTTGTTTCATCAACCACAACTTCTGAGTCAAACAGTTTAGGCTCTTCCTGAGATGTTGGGTTTGTAGGTAATATCAAGCTGTTCCTATGTGCAGAAGTTGTTGTGCTTGATTGTTCTGCCTTACTATCCATAGCTTTAGAATCTGCTTTCATGTCCTTCTCCTCAGATACATTGTCTAATGAGTGGTATGCTGGCACTTCACTTTGCTCTGGTACAAGAGGTACACTTGATTCTTTCGTGGGAAGTGCATCATGTACAACATATGATGTTAAAATTGTGAAGGGTGCAGTCACTGGAAGTGCTGAGGTTTCAGGAGTAGTAGAGTGTGTCACATGTTTAGTTTCAGGTGGAGAAGCAGTAGCCCTAAAGGAGGAAGTTGTAACCATGTCTCTGATTTTGGGCATTTTCTCAGCCAGATCAAGAACTAATGAAGGAGTGGATTCCATATGCTCCTCTTTCTTAGCCTGTATTTTGGCATTGTTTTTACGATCAGGACTTTCAAGAGTTGCGGAAGAAGTTCTGGTCACAGCTTCAACTTCAGGTGTCCTTGGAACGACAGGTATTGCCTCAGTGGTTAAAACAACAGGGGGCAAAGGCCTTGGTCTTTGTCGGATTCTGTTTAGCCTCAGTCTCCTTCTCCCATAAGGCCTTTTTCTACCATGCTGAGTAATAAGTGAGGGCGTGGTCTTTCTATATGGAACTGTTGTGGTGGCCACAGTGGTCAGTCTACTGATGGAAGCAGCATTTTTTATCCCCTCTGCTATTTTATGAAGAGCATTAGCACTATGCAAAATGACCACGGGATCTGTTTTTGAAGTAGCCAGGTTTCTATGTTCTTGTGCCTGAGAATTGTCTGCATAACTGCTGGACATGCTTTCTTGAGTCACTGTATTCCTGTGGGTCTCGGGTTCTTCTTTGCTCTGGACCTTGATGGATGTGAAAGCAGGAAAACTTGTACTTAAGTCTGCCATTTTCATCTGACCTGTGGATGTTTCTTTGTGCTGGTATCTTGAGTCATTGCTCTCCTCTGTAACAAATGGTGAAGCAGATGAAGAAATGGTAGTAGTACCTAGAGAATCTGTTAGGATGATCTTGTCCAACTGAGGTGGTGTTAAAATTAGGGTGTCAACACTCATTGGGTCCACTTTATTTAACTTCATGCTTGACTCCAAGACACTGTGAAGATCCACAGTCTGAGATTCAGCTAGGAGAGTAGCATCAAGTGGTAGCTCAGCAAAAGCAGAATTTTCTTCAGATACAGAAGTTCTATGAGCAGTTTCCACTGTGAATGAACTGCTCTGAATATTGGGAATGTTTGTCACAATTTGTCTGGTTAGAGGTTCTTCAGTGAAAGCATGTACATTTTCTTTGACTACAGCTGAATCATCAGTCCTGACATCAAGATGCTGCTTGCCATGGGGTTGCAAAGTTGCAGAGACAGGAGTCAAATATGGACCTGATACAGCAATTCCTACAGTGTCTATACTTGCAGGTGTTTCTAAAGTGCTGTGGTTGGAGAATGGTTCAGTTTCTGACCTCATTAATATGGACTGGACTGAAAATGCTTCTGTGTTGTGTGAAACAGTGACTGAGAATGGCTCATCTTCACCCACAGGTGATGCATCAGCCGAAGAGTCTACCATATCAGCTGCTGTCTCTGAAGGTGGAGGGTTGGCTGCCAGATGAGGGACTGGAGTAGTGTTCTGCATGATTGATGGCAGTGCAGTTGTTACAGAAATGGTTGTAGCTGTTGTTGTTCTAGGAAGATTCTTCCCACGGACCTTTGCCAAAATGTCAGCCCAATGCTGTGGATTAATCTGCTTGCTTGCCACATTAATTCTCCTTCGAGATTCAAATACTCTCCGGCCTTCTGCAATGTTGCTGTCTTGGGTTCTATCTGTACTTTTCCAGATTTTCATTTTCCTTCTGCCTTTCTTCCCCTTTTTAATTTGACTCTCTGGCACCTGGTCACTTTTTTGTTTAAAAGGTATTTCCCAGTCTTTTAGGTGGTTCTTTCTTCGTAGGAAGTCCTCCACTCCCCCTGCCCCTGATCCCTCTCCATCCTCTATGACCTGCCCTCTTGTTTTTGACAAACGCTTTGAGGCTGGACGCTTTTTTAGTTTTATTCGTTTAAATGACCTGTCAGACACCATTTTATTTACTGTGACCCTTACAACAAATTGATCTGACCCCTGCACGTTGACAGCCACACATCTGTAATGGCCACTATCACTGACATGGCTTCTTGGAATAAGTAAAGTACCATTATGCAGCATATAGCCTTTTGAAGAGTTTGATAAATCATTGAGTACTTGACTGTTTGGAAGAATCCAACTCAACTGTGGGTCTGGGATGCCAACTGCATTGCACGGTAAAACTATTGGGTCTCCAACATTTTTTTCAACTCTCACTACATCTGAATCAGCTGCCTGAATAGCTGGAGGCTGCACTAGAAGTCTGTAAGCCATTATGTCCACATCATCTCTAACTTGGGCGATGCAGTGGTACACACCTCCATCAGTGTAACTCACTGCTTTCATGATTAGTTGGCCGCTACTGAGAATGGAAAACCTACTGTCTTTCTGATTAAATGGTGCCTGCAGTTTAGTTCCATCTGGAAAGAGCCACTGAATGGAGGGGCTCTCAGAAGCTTTCACATTGCAGCTCAGCTGACACTCTGACCCTTCCACCACACTCTGTGCTGTCCTTGTGCTCTGGTTTTGCTCTATCATCACCCAGTTCCTCTGCTGCCTGGTGTTTTTGGTATGAATTGTCTGAGAAAACACAGTAAAAAAAGACAGCACCACTTTTTTCCCTGTACTCTGGCGCCGATTTAATTGGATATTTATAAGAGGTTGCATAACCCAGGAAGGCTCAGCCACTATTTGAGCTTTTACACCTGTGTAGTAAAGAGCATCATAATCTGAGCCTTGCCTGTACTGATAGCTTATTTTAGGCTCCTTTCTGAGCATAATTTCCCTCTCTAATTTGACAGGTACTTCACTGTAATAAGCTATAAGCTTCCATAGTTTTTCATAGTTTTCTCGATTCATGGGACATTCAAAATCCAGTGATATTGTAGCATTTATATCTATCTCCTGAGTCTGGATTTGATTCCACTGAATTTTGGTAGAACCTGTCGGTTTTTCGATTTCACAGTTCAGGTGGACTATATTGCCATGCTCATCAGTCATATTTAGCTCAATGTTCCATGGAGAGGACTGAAGTTCTTCCAGAGGGAGTTCGTAACTGTCACCATCTTCTTCATCTTGAGTGCTGCTATTTTGCCTCAGTGAGGACTGAATGACAGGCTTCCTACAAGAAATATCTTTCAAGTTTTGAATATCTTCTTTCTGCAGTTGTTTTGGGCTGCTGCACTTAGGACAGAGCTGTCCCCCTTCATAGGCTTTGTCCTTTTTGCATTTTAAAACACCTGCAAGAAAAAAAAAGGAAGAAAGAAAATAAAACAGGAAACAAAAGATAAATAAGCTGAAAAACTCTGTTCTAAGCTTAGAGAACTCTCAAAACTGTGAAATGAACTTCATGAGGAATGCATTATGTCATATGACACATAAAGCAAAACTTTTAGAATGGTGAGCCTTAGTTTTACAGCTGATTGGGCACCTGATTCTCAATCTGACCATGATTTCTTCTGACTTTATTGAGAGGATTGAGTACTCCGTCCTTCTGCAACTTAGATTCACTCCCTCTGAATAAAATGCCTAGAAACTGAAGTGTGCATAGCAACATTTTATGAGTCTGTAAAAAACTACTCTGTGTCCAAAAGTCTGCACCTGTACAATGACAGCCTAACTACCTAACTTGTGGATCTAATGTGAAGAGGACTGGGTCCTTTCAGCTTTCAAAAATGTAGCATTTACTTGAGAAATGCTGGACTTCCCACTAAATAATCCAGGAAGCTTTTTATTTTTCTCTATTACTTAACAACAGTATTGGCAATACACAAAACATTCTACTGTAGCTACTGAAATGGGCTGACTAGTTCTTGAATGTACAAGCTATTTATCAGCAGCAAGAAAAACCAAACCAAGTGCCATTTCTTCCCTAACCTCTGAAATAACTCTAAACTCTGTAATGATACAAAAAGCTTAATCAGAGAAGGAAAGCTAAACCAGGAAATTATAGCCTTGACTCCTCTCTTCTGTCAATGCCAGAGAGACTCTTGTCTGCAAAGTAAAAGTCATATTTTTATTAAATTGTTCTGCTCACTAGAAAGTGAAATGTCACCTTACGTATTTAGTTTGGAAACATATTGCAAATTAAATGTATTCCAGTTATTCTAGGAATAAGTATCATCCTGAGGAATGAGGGATCTTTGAATGAATGAACAATATACTGGTTGTTATAAGGCAAAATGCCAGGAAAAGGGAAATGCATGGCAAATTTTCATACTGTTTTTTGCTTGAAAAGTATATGCTTTGCTAGTCTGACAAATCAATTTTCTTGAAAAGTTCTTACAAATGGAGTATTTAAGTGAACAAGTTTATCACTTGCAGATTCAAATAGGATGTTTCAACGATAAGGAAAAACTGGCCCACAATCAACTTGGCAGTGGCCACGTTGGTCTGAAGAACTTTAATAATTCTTTCTGTATTATTATTCCCAAAGCAGTTAATGGTATAGTTATATAAAGATACAAAATCTGTCATACATGAAAACAGAATGGATAAATCCTTCCTCCTTCCAGTAATCACTACTGTTTTAGTGTAATAAAAATGCTAACAAGCCAACACTGCACATGGAAGGAAAGTTAATCTAATACTTCATTGTTATAACTTACAGAGCAACTTAAGCACACTTATTACACACACAGATATATGATTTGGATCAAGGAGAGTATGTAAGAATATTATAATGTAAGCTAGCGAAATAAACACCCTTAAAAGTACTGTCCTACAGCTAAGTGCAAAACTGCAATGAGTTACATATTCTAAGATGACAAGACCCAGCACCATTCACCATACATGCTACAAATCATTATGTAAACCTTGTGACTCCATCACTTATTTGAGACATCTTCAGTTACAATTAAATGTCAATTCCCTCTTAATATTTTAGCAGTAGCTCCGGTGTAACACCACTCCCTCTGGCCTACTACAGTGAGTACTTAGCTACCTAAGATGGGACACTGCTGAACTGAGATGCCCAAACTGAAAACTGATGCTCAAAGTCCCCCTCATTTAGTGTATTCCAGATAAAGAGGCATTACAAAACTGTCTTTGTTTGCCTCTGCACATGACCAAAAGTGTTCCAGCCTAAGCACCATGATACTTGTCTCCTATTGAAGTCCGAATGAAGATAGACTAGTTATTTTATGAAAAAACTGCAGGATTTAAAATACTTAAATAGATTGTAAATACTTGAAAATACTTCAAATAGATTTGCTCCATCATAAAAGGAATTTGTGGTAAAGGAAGAAACATAGACAGGCGTGAAGGATGCATACTACATAACAACCTTAATGTTAATAGCATCCAGGTTAGAGGACTTAACCAGGAATTTGTTAACTGAATTCCATTCCTTCCTTAGATAAACACGTTCAAATCCAATGTTACCACCTTCCATTAGAGCTTTGTTGGTTGAGGACAATTGCCAGCCCTTGGTCTAAAGTGTACTGCTGTGCAAATGACCACAGTAAAAGGTTATATCTATTTCCTCCTTCTAATTATAAACTTCACTACCACTTTTGCCATTCCAAATGTAATGGCTAATGTCTTTGGTGTTGAATACATATTTTTAGCTAGTGACACACAACTGCCTTCTTTTTACACTGTTTTTTAAATATATGCATTTACTGAACATTAACAGAAAGTATTACTGCAGATAGACATCACGGTGTTAGTAATACTCAGGAAATAACAAAACCATCCACATGCAGAACAGGAAAAATAAAATCTAACAATATGAGTTCAATAGACATTGGTAGCTTTGGGTCCTACCTCCAGAAACTTCATTCCATTCAAGAAGCCACTTTAAACTGCAATCACAGGCCCATGGATTCCCATGAAGGTAAAGATTTTCCAGCAGTGGCATGCCTTGAAACATCCCTGCAGGCAAGGTCCTAAGAGCATTTTCAGATAGGTAGAGATGTCTTACTGTTGACAGTTTGAAATAATCAAGGACCATAAATGTTGAAAAGGTGTTGGGGTGAAGCTGCTGGAGCAAATTTCCTTCTAAATGAACCAGTCTCAGAGAAGTTAATCCATTAAAAGCATTTGGATGAATAAACTCAATTCTGTTGTGGTCCATGTGCAGTCTCATTAAGCTTGAAAGTCCTTGGAGAGTTTGGCCAGTTATGGCTTTCAATTTATTGTAACTAATTTTGAAAACCTAAAAGAAAAAAAAGGAACCAGAGATTAATATTTTTTTTAATCTAAATCTAAACAGGATAGCAAGTAATCAAGAACAAATTTTACTCCCACATTCAAATCTTTTGCATCGCTGAAAAATGATATGCTGGTCAAAGAGGTACTTGGCATTATCAAGTATTACATAGGTATAGTTATAGATCTCCCATGTATTTTGGAGGAAAATGGTATCTTAATAATCCTAAAAAGGCACTATAAAATACATTTATTTTTGTTTTCTTTTATTCACAGAGGTTAGATTTTTTTAAATTTAGGAAGACCTAAGCATTACCTGTAGAGATATGAGATCTTTCAAAGCACCATTAGGTATATTTTGAATGTCATTTCCATGTATCATGAGCAATTCCAATTTTGTAAGTCCTGCAAAGGAGTTTTCGTATATAGACTGTATACTGTTAAACCTGGGAAAAAAATCACATGTGCAGTTACATTTTATACACTGACTGTCACAGACTGCAAATGTAAAATTAGTACAACCTAACTTTCAGGAAAAATTGGAGGCACCTTAATGCACTGTCAAGGGGCCAGAAGTTATTGCAAGATTTTTACAAGGCCAAGTATACTTAGTTCATGTTTACATTAAGATTTCTTTTAACTCAATTTGTGGCACTTTAGCCATAATTTAGGAGTGAAAGTAATAAATAGGCGTTTTAGTTCTAATAGTTGTATGTTTTTCCATGCAGCTCAGTTTATGGAATGGTAATAAGTTAGTGGCCTGTAGCCAAAACATGAGGCTATGGAGCCTGGCAAACTAGACAGGCTGCAGTGTTGCCAAAGCAGCATCTAACAATAAATGAATAAGGATTTGGAGTGAACATTAAAAATGGATATCTCCCAAATAGCAGGAGAAGCAGTAAGTCACATCCTGCTTCACCTACTGTTACAACATGCCATTGGCTACACCAATTATTACGTAAGACCTAGGAAATGACCTTCCAATTACATAATTTGAGTCTAGAGACTCCTCTTAGATAAGGAATACAGAAAATCTACTTTTTGAAAATAATTTAATTTCACTTTGGACAAGCAAATCAGGATTTGCCAATGTGGAGGCGTTAGGTTTGGTGGCCTAGCTCTACATTTGTGTTTTTCCTATGTATATATGTAACATATTATCTAATCTGGGCATGAAGTCTCTAAACTAAGGACAGAATTTTAAAGATTTTTTCAATTATTTAGTATTTTCTAGAAGGTAAGGGAAGAGACAGTGACAAATTAAAATACTTTGAATATGGAGGAAATACTTTTGGTTCCTCATCATGTTATCTATCTAAAGATTCCTAATCTGCTAAAAATTTAGACTACTGTTTTGATATTTTTAGTCCTTCTGCAGCTTAACTAGGCATATAGCAGGCATCCTATTAAAATTCCTTATTTCAAAATCATAACTTCTAAAAAGTATGAGCTCATCTAAATAAAATTTTTTTCTAAATTATTTCTAAATTATTAGAAAAATAATCTTCACCTCCTAAATATATAGCACTGAAAACAGAAATATGGTAAAAGCTCTCTTTCAAAATGGAACAAGTGCTACAACAGTCAGTTAAGACTGTTTCTTCATGGGAAAGGACACAACTCAGAAAATTTCATTTGTAGTGATGAAATACAAAGACAGGAAAGGGCTTTGATGCTACCAGTATCAACTAATGTACTTACAGACCAAACACCTTTGTAACTTACAAGCCTACATCCCATTTTCAAAAGTAATTTAGGGTTAAAATTTACCATAAAATGTTGATGTATGGAGGAGAGCTGACTGTAAATATGTGTCAGTTTGAACATGGGGGAAGAGGGAATCATATTTTACTCAAAAATGGCATTAAAGTACATATTGCTCTAATATAGATTTACTAAGTACAAGAGCATTTTGAAACTAAAATTAGGCTTTAGGTGGATAAAATCTTGATGGATAGAAATTTTAACTACGGAGAAGTAAAAAACCTCAAGTTCCCTACTGTCAGTCACTCCATGATTAGTTGCAGCTTATAGGACTTGAGGTTGTCAGAGTGAGTTCACACTGGATAGTAGGGCAGCCCTGGTAACAAGCAGAAGAGGACTGTGACTTCTGCACCATTTCATGTCACAAAATGACCCTACATAGTACTTTTGATATATGAAACCTACCAACTATCCCTGCCTTCTTGTCTCAAAATCTGACAGATGTGAGCTGGCAATACCCTGGCAGAGGAAAATGAATTGAAGCCTGAACAATCTCTCCCCAAAATATTAGTGTCTGCTTATATTGCATTTAGTTCCTTGAAGAAAAAAAAAAACCAAAACAAAAAACCACAACAACAAACCCACAAATCCAAAGGCAATGGAATAGCTTTGTTTTTACTGTATTCATTTAAGATATGCTATATATCTCATTGTAGTATATATTCTACCTGGCTACATTATAGAATTTTACTCCAATGTTTTTTTACATTGGCTATAAAATTCAGCATTTAGTAGAAATCCCATAGTAGGTTTAATTCAATATATTTTATACACTGTAAAAGACTAAAAGTCCTATTTGCCAAAAAAAGAATTTACACCATGGTATAAATATTTATTTGAAATGAATAGTAACTTTTATTTGAAACATAAAGGCTAAGTTAAAACTATCTCCATGCCAGCAACTGCAGCATTTGAAATACAGCACGCCAGCAAGTCCCTACCCATCTCTGCAACTCTACATAAAAACTACACGCAGAGATCCCGACTCGCCACATGTGTGCGAAGCACTCCGGGCTTCCACACCAAGAACATAAAACTGTTTGCTCCAAGCTGCCATACAAACCCAAAGTTGATTCTTTCCACATGTTTAGCGATCCGTGCCGGCACAGCTGCCAGGGAGCGGAAGGTGCAGTGGACCTCGGTGGGGAGGTAGCAAGCGCAGGGTTGGGGGCAGCCCAGGGTGCCCGCTGGCAGCCCCAGCCCCAGTAGCAGCACCATGGACAGCGCTCCAGCTGCCACCCGATCCCCCATCTTGTCGCCTCCCCTTGCCTGGCTCCTCCTGGGTGGTTCCGGGGTCGGGGAGAAGACAAGAGAGAAGAAACAATGATTTTTTTTAAATCCTTTTAAAAAGTTGTATATATCTAGCAGTGACCTGCCTTGTCCAGAAGGTCTGTAGACAATCAAGGCCAAGTTCAGTTGGAAACTGGTTTTCTTACTTCCATGTCCTTTTCTACTTCAGTGTTAACTTTTCCCCCATAAATCACTTCCACTAAATACCTATTCTAGCAAAGTTAAGCTGTCTCCCTATGGTAATAAATTTTGTAGGCTTATTCTGTACACCAATGGTAGTATCCATCTCACCTAACAACTAGAAAAATTTAAGGGAAGTATCTAGCCCAAGTAAACTACTGTGGCTCCCTCTACAGTCATGGAAAGAAAAAAAAACAAACAAATATTCACTTGAAGATGAATAATATCAGTTATCTACCTGATCAGATAACTAGAAATAGTACAACTGAGCTTCATGAAGTCCCTAATTAGCAAACTCACCTAGCCTAGCTGCCTAATTTTTAGGCAGGCTACTAACTTTCAGCAGGGTAAAATGTGGCTGAATGAACTTCATTCATAATATATATGTGGGATATGGTATCACTGAGAAAGAAAATGAAAGTAAGAATTGGTTGGCCATAGATCGAGACTCTGTCATCCTTTGTCGTGCATTACTGTGTGATGTTGGATGTACTCTTAGATTGCAATCTTAACCAAACAGGAATTATGAATGATCAGAACTGATAAAACTGGACAATTTACCTAGAACTGAAAGCACAGACCTCAGGAAAAGTTTATACTTATAATTATAAAAAAACCTGAACTCAGGTTCAGGTTTTTGGAACTGTGTGTTGAAATGCCATGGAGTCATTTAAAGAAGCAGTGTGCAAATAACAGACAAGAAAACCTAACTGTTACAAACCTCGAGTACTAGTAATTTTTGAAAATAACTTATGTATTGTCTTATTACAGGTTAAGCACCCTAACTTTGGAGAAAGCAGTTTGAAACATCCCTATTCTTATTCCTACCACCAGAAGAATTTTAAAGTTTTTCAGATTACAGTCATACAAGAATATAGGCTACTACAAGTAACAAAAATTTAATATTCCTGCTTTTGTACAACACCGTGACAACGACAGAAAGGCATTCACTTCTATCAGCTATTAATAGCTCCATTAGTTATTTGCTTTTAGTATAAAAGTCAGAATTTCTCAGATCTGTGAGCAACGAGATGCACATTTTTTTCCTAAGACCATCATGTGCAAACCATTACAGTTCAAAGGAGAGGCTCACTGGGATGAAGAGGTTTTCCAAATATCTGTGGTCAAGTTAATGAAACGTTTAGCATTCTTTACAAGACAAATAGCTTTTAATTTGTTCAAGAATTTTCAGGTGCTGTTTTCCTTATGTTGTCCTTAATGGAAAGGAAACTCCCTCTAAAAAGCAGCCTACCCGTTTCAATTCCTTTTCAGAAGGGTCTCTTACAGGACTTGCGCACTTAGGTGAAAAGGAAACTGCAGTGAGGGGCTGGAGGAAGGCTGACCAGAGGGACCCACCATGCTTTGTCCGGGTAACACACAAAGGCTGCCGAGAGCAGCCCCTCAGCGCCGCCGCTCCGGGATCCGGCAGTGATCGCGGACCGGCTGCCCCGCCCGCCCCGACACCAGGGGGCGCTCTCGAGCGCGCCGCCCGCACCCCCGCCATTGGCTGCTTCCACCTCCAGGCGCCGCGTTCCAGCCAATAGGCTGCAGCCCCGCCCCGATGGGCGGGGCTGGGCACGGGGCGGGGCCCACGGGCTCCTGGCGGGGCGGAGGCGGTGGCCGGTTCGTGCGCCAGCCGGGCTGTGGGGAGGAGGCTACGGGGGAGCCACATTCCCCCCTGCCTCCGTGTTCCTTTCTGCCGTACCGGAGGACAGATGCTTCCCATTAGGGAAGAATGTCCCCGCCGGGCCGGGCGACGAGAGCGGACGGGCTGAGGGCGGGCGCCGACACACGGCGGCACGGCCCGCGGGACGCTCGACTGCCGCCAGCCGGGCGGCCGCGCAGCCCACCCGCTCCGCCGCTCCTCCGCAGTCCTGCGGGGGAACCCCGAAACCCACCCCACGGCACCCCGACCGGCTGTGCGCTGCCCCTTACCTGCGGCCGGGCGCGGCGGTCCGGGCAGGCGCCGCCCGATGCTCCAGTGGGCTGCGGGCGGCCGGCGGCGCGGGGCCGGCGCTCACCTGGCCCCCGGCCTCCCCTCCGGCACCGGCCCGCCGAGGCTCATCGCTGCCCGCGGCGGCCCGCCCCGACGCTGCTTTAGGACTCCTCATAGCCCATCATCCTGCGGGATCAGCCGCCGCGATCGAGTCCCCCGAACAAGCATAAGCGATGCGCGGCAGCCGGGCAGGCACCGCCGGGGGCTGGTTTTTACTGGCTGCTCTTGGGTTCGAGCCTCGCCTTCTCTGGGTGTCCCACGCCGCCGCCGCAAGTCGGGGCGCCGCAATCCCTCAGCCCCGGCGGGCGCCCAGCGCGTCGCTCCGGTAGCTCCGCGGGCCTGCGGGCAGGCGGGCGATGCCGGCGAGTCCCCGCCACCGGACGGGCTGCCTGGGCGCGCAGGTCTTCCCGCGACGGCAGCCGCCCGGAGCAGGCATGGGGACGAGGAACGCGGGGCGCCGGGACTCCGCCACTCCGCCCGCCTCCCCGCGCCGGGCGCTGTGCAGGGGAGGGCGCGGCGCAGCGGCTCCTCTTGCAGGGTGGGCGGCCCCTCCGGGGAGGGGGGGGCGGCTGCGGGCGGGCCCGCGCCGGGGGGCGGAGGGCGGTGGGTGAAGGAGGCTCCGGAGCCGGCGGAGTGGGGGGCCGCGGGAAGCCGAGGCCACGCGTGGGTCCGAGCCCTGAAGCTGTCGGAAAGTTTGTCTCTGGGACCTGGGCAGATCCAGCACTCTCGAAACGCTCAGATGTACGTACGCACCTGGTCTGCTCACACATACACACACAGAGTCCAGTACACAACCCCAAAACTGGACCAACTAGTCCGGGTTTCTTCCTATCCTGAAGTGATATAGAGTTTAAAGGCATAGTTTAGTGGTGGACTTGGTAGCGCTGGGTTAATGGTTGGACTCGATGATCATAGAGGTCTTTTCCAACCCTAATGATTCTATGGTTCTTTGATGTTGGTGTCCCATCACAACACAAAGAACCAACCTCGCATCAGTCCTTATACATCATACTGGCAGCTTCTGCTGCAGAGACCTGTATCCTGTCTGTATGTGGGAATTTGATCTGCATCACACTCGAGGAGTGGCATTCCAATAAATGCATGTGAACAGAAAATCTTGGAACTGGAATGGAGAGGAAACTACAATGATACAGGAAAAGGCAGCAACCATTAATAATGAACCAGACTGAATGTAGATTCCGTCATGAATTGCCTTTTGCTCTTAAAAGCCACAAGAGAAGCAAACTCTAGTATTAAATCATTAACATCCCTATCCTCAATTTCCTTCCTGTATTAGCAATTTTTTCAGTACACAAAAGTAAGCCTTCTTCTGGACCATTGAAAAATTCATCATTCAGAAGACCATGCTCTATTATCTAGTTAGTTCCACTGTGTGGTTTTTGGATATGCACAATTTTCTGTTCTCTAGATAGCCAACGTGGCAGTTGCCCTATCTATTCTAGAAAAACAAAGAACTCAGTCTTTCAAGACACATTTCAAGACAACTATTTCAAAAGAGTTGCAGAAATCAGCATAGATGCATCTTAAGTTGTAAGAATGCCTCTGAGTTTTGGTGTGGAGCTTTTAAATTCCATCTCCACAGTAAGAAGATATAGCAAACAGCATTATGTTCTAGACTTTAAAGCTGTGCCAAGTGTATCATCACCAAATTAACAGAAATAACCAGAATCTTAATGAGTGGACCATTTTTGGCTTTGAAACCTGTAAGAAGTGTGATCAAAAAGGTTGCAGGAGGAAATATCTACAACTGTTATCAATAAGCTAACAGTGAGCATCAGAATCTGGACAAGTCATATCTTCCAAATGCATTAATTAAGATTCACTTTCAGAAAAAAAGCTCATTATCCATGCTTTTGGCTGCAGAACTTTTTTTGTGTCATGATGAGCAGCACAGCCCCACACAGCCACTCCCTCACTCCCCCAAATTGAGATGGGGAGAGAATTGGAAGGGTAAAAATTAGAAAACTCATGTGTTGAGATAAAGACAGTTTGATAGGTGAAGCAAAAGCCACATGCACATGCAAAGAAAAACAAGGAATTTATTGCTGCTTCCCATGGGCAGGCAGGTGTTCTGCCACCTCCAGCAAAGCCAGGCTCCATGATTTGTAACAGTGACTTTTGAAGGCAAAGGTTATCACTCAAAACGTCCTTGCCTTCCTCCTTCTTCCCCCAGCTTTATATGCTAAGCGTGACACCATATGGTGTGGGATATCCCTTGGATCATTTGGAACCAGCTGTCCCAGCTGTGTCCCCTTCCAACTTGTTGTGCACCCTTAGCCTGCTCTCTTGGTGGGACAGTGTGAGAAGCACAAAACACCCTAACACTGCACAAGCCTTGCTCAGCAGTAGATAAAACATCCTTGTTTTATCCACACTATTTTGGTCACAAATTCAAAACACAGGACCATATAAGCTGCATTTAAATAAATGCGAGAAATATTTCAGTGGCATCTAAAAATAACATCACTAACATGATGTTCACTATCTTCAATGTACATATTTTTTTCAGACAAGCAAATGCCAATACCAACCCATATTGTTGTATCAACAATATTTATTAACAGTAAATACATCAACAGTTCACAAGTTAAAACCACAATACATTGACAACAAAGCATATCCAGCTCTAATATATATGTTTACCCTACTGCAAAGGATTTTTTTGTTTGGTTTTTTTCATGGAGTCCATTTGAGTGCAGTTAGAAAATTATGGGAACAAAAAGTATTAAGGACAGGATTTTTTAAATTGATGTGTAGCAGATATAAGTAGGGAGTTAGATGGTCCATGATATGGAACTTGTAGATGCTACATAGGCTTGGGCAGCCCTGTGGTCACAGTATGTTTTGTAGTTTGAGGTTTCAGTTATATTTCAAGAAGAGACATTTACTGGTGTCTAGATTGACAGCTGCTGTACATCAGTATAATTTCTCTGATGGCAATCAAGGGATGCTAGGTTGTCTGGTAGCTGTTGAAGCATATTGTTGGAAAATATCTTTACAAATTGGTTAAAGTTTTTCACAGTGGATAGGGACAGGTAGAGCAAATAAATGGTGAAGACAATCATCCATGTCACTGATATTTGCCATTTCAGCTGTGGTACCTGCTGTTTACACAGTGTTTACAAAGTGGAAGGAAAATATTTCAAAGGAACAAGGCTGACCAGGTACAAATACTTGAACTGTAGAGAGCACCAAGTAAGTTTCTGATGCAGCCATTTCTGAAAGTTAGCCTGAAGGTAAAAGGCTGTTCACATGAACAAGAATCTGTTATAGGAAGGTGGTGGCAGCAAAATAATGACATGCATTTTGACAGGACTAGGAGGCGGTTAAGTGTAAGTCAAGTGTGACAGTTTGAGAAAGGGCATTATTAGAGAGAGCTGTCTTTCTTATTTTCACTATCCTTCACTAACTCTGAAGTGCCTTGACTCTGGATCGGCACTGTTTGAGGGAAACTGACATCACTATAACTGTCCTGTCCTTGCAGTTAATTAGCTCACAGCCTAAGTTACCTTCTTCCTTCTGTAAAAGCCAACATCAAAGCACAGTTTTGGCAACCTATTGTAGCACGACTGCTCTCTCAGAAATTAAGTTTTGGATTTTCTGGGAACCAATTATCTGTTCACTGCAGCTGCAGTGCCAGTATATTGCTGCCCTTTGCAAGGCCTCTTCTCTATACCCTCCTTCAGGCAACTTATCTCCTCCTTGCCTTTAGGTTTTCCTGTTTGGGGTTGTTTTTCCTCAATTAGATATTCTTAATGTCTTTAAGCTGAAAGAGGGTAGATTTAGATTGGATATTAGGAAGAAATTCTTTACTGTGAGTGTGATGAGGCACTGGAACAGGTTGCCCAGAGAAGTTGCTGATGTTCCATCACTGGAAGTGTTCAAGGCACAACAACCCTATACAGCACTACAGACGAGGGGAAGAGGGGCTGGAAAGCTGCCCAGTGGAAAAGGGCCTGGGGGTGTTGGTTGTCAGCCGGCTACACGAGCCAGCAGTGTGCCCAGGTGACCAGTGGCATTGTATCAAAAATAACGTGGCCAGCAGGACTGGGGTAATGATTTTCCCTCTGTACTTAGCACTGCTGAGGCCACATCTCAGGTGCTGTGTCCAGTTCTGGATCCCTCACTTCAAGAAAGACACTGAGGTACTGGAGTGTGTCAAAGGGCATAAAGCTGGTGAAGGGTCTAGAGAATAAGTCATATGAGGAAGCTGGTGTTGTTTCAGCCAGAGAAAAGGAGGCTCAGGGGAGACCTTATCACTCTGTACATTTACCTGAAAGGAGGTTGTAGCAAGGTGGAGGTGGGCCACTTCTCCAAGGCAACTAGTGACAGGACAAGAGGAAATGGCCTCAAGCTGCGACTGGGGAGGTTCAGGTTGGACATCACAAAGAATTTCTCTGCTGAAAGGGTGGTTAAGCATTGGAATAGGCTCCCC